ATCTGAAATCCCAAGCTATGTGCCATTGTTCAGCCTATCCTGTGAATTACTATTAGCATACATTTCTACGGATGCACTACTTAGTACATTCACATTACTACTTGAGAACTGGCTGGAGATATGTTACCATGGTAACCCAACCTCATTTAAGATTAACCAAGTAAAGATTAGGAAAATTTTTAAAAGTATATTATGCCTAGCAAAGTGAAACCATATATTTAAACACTTCAAAGGAAGAGCTACTGACTTAGATCTCAGTTGCCTTAATCTCTGTCTAGCAATTTCTTTCATGTACTACTGCATTGCATTGTGGGATATTTATGCTGGTGTAATGATTGGCATACATCTGGCCCATTTATATGATGTACCTAAATGGTCATTAACAGTTAAAGTGCATTGTCCCTTTTCAATAAAATAAACAGATTTAATGGGTACTCCCCATTTACAGGTATCAGGGTGTAACATAAATGAGGTTTAGCTTAAACTGAAGATCGGCCTATACATGAACAAAAGTACTGAGATGCCCTGCCCTGATTGCATGTGGTAAGAGACTAAGTATCTCTGACTTCTGCAGTAAGTCATACTAGGGCTGTGCCACAACATACCATCCATGACAGTACAGGCAGAAAACTGACAAAACAGTGTCATGTTACATCAATCGATAATATATTAAACATGTAAAGTGTTTATGTTATCTAGTGCACGCAACAATCAGACAAGGCCAGATCCTGTTTTTGACAGCAGGAGCTGCACGCCAGCCTCCGATGACTATTTAGTACCCACAAAACTATTCGCGCTAAACGTGGAAACAACAAATTTGTTTCACCACTCACAGCAAAAGAAAAACACAGTCGTGTAAAACCAGGCTACAAAGGTGTGTGAAGAGATGCTAGCAGCTGCTGATGTGCAACCCAAAAGTAAACAAATGACTGAACCGAGCATCGCCGGAGTGCCGGCTAAGTGCACTCCATACAACAGGAAGAGCAAACATTGGAGGGAAATTACTGATGGGGTTGCATTGTGGAAAAGGAGGGCTTTAAGCAGCTGGTCAAACAGAGAAAAATATCAGGTAGGAAATATTTTTAATTTCAGCTTTAATATGTGACTATATTGTCCTTGCTGCCCTACTGGTGCACCATAATGCTACTGCTGGCACATTGTTTCAGCAGATTCGCACTTTGAATTACGTAGTCTGTCTCATTTCAAAAGAACGATTTTGTTTACACTAATAAATGTTGTTGCCTGCAAGCTGTAAACATCAATAAAACTGTCCTCAGAAATATCATTATTGCAAATTTCCTTGAAAAATTATGATATAACTGTTGGGCTTTATCGCCCACCTCTGAGCTCATATTTGGTTGGATTAGTAAAAGGTCTCTATGAATACTTTTTCAGATTAAAATTTAAATCAAGTTATGATAAACGTGCAGGAAAATAAATCTCACGTTAAACTGTGTAGTTCAACGTGTTATGAAATATGTACTCAAATCATGCATTCCTTCAGTATTTTACACATTTTAAGCTTTTTATCTACCTCGCATCAACATTCAGCTCAGGATCACCAATTAACCTAATAGACATGTCTTTGGACTGTGGGAGGAAAACCTAACAGGCACAGAGTGAACATGCAAACTTGATTCGAGAACCAGAAACCTTCTTGCAGTGAGGCTGCAGTGCACCACTAACATTATATATACACTTTTTAAAAACATGGAGGCAATTATTGTTTCCACTAGTGTCTGCACGTAAAACAACCAGAATGACAGATCACATTGTACTGCTTTTTTCATCAGTGCGTTTTCTCCTGTTATCAGGGTGAAACATGGGACACGCGTGTCATGCTTGCCAAGATGGAAATAACAAGCAAAGGCCTTACTTTAAAATGACTACTGTCACCAATGTTTGCTAAAAGTGCACAGTTAAAGATTGCTCCCACTCCAGCAAATGGGATTATGCTTGATTCAAATGTCATTGCAGTGCCACATCTCTTAAAAGCCACTACACATTCAGTAATGCCACTTTAAAAATAGAGACAGGCCTATTGCTCGCATGCTGAATATTTTGTGTTGAATTGTGATTATGTGTGTGTTGGTACCCATTAGTGTCTCTGAGAAACATAAACTTCTCAAGACCATTTCAGGACTCTGGCCTGGCCTAACAGTGCAATGAGGGTCTGCTGCCAGGGATTACAGGATGCAATGTGATAGGTCTTCACATTTGCTGAGGGTCAAGCAGGGCGGAGGCTGCCACTGTTACTGGCTCTGCAATCAGCTGCTCACATGATGCATGACATCTGATTTACAAATCAAATTCCTCTGGCCAGCAGAACTCAACTGCATAGGGCTCTTGATAGGTCAACAGCTTAAACTGGGGGAGGAAAAGCCGAGACTGTAAAATAACTTGAATGGAGTCACGGGCTGCTGCAACATCCCGAGCAAATGTGTGAGAAACCTAAGTAAGCTTGGTGTGGCTGCCAGCTGAGCTGCCAACAACCTGGCCTGGTTCTGCACAGCAGCTGTGCTGCTGCAGGTACACACATTTACGAACACATGCTCTTTTCTACCAATGGGTCATTGCGTGTATTAAAACTAGCCGACTGGAATTAGGGCGGCACAATGTTGCCATTCAACACTGTAGTTTGGCAAATTTAGCCCAATCTTATCAGTTTTGTGAATTCTATACTAACACAACGGGGATGCAGCATGCACTGAGATGATTAAATATTAAATATCAACATAGTGTAATTTTCATTTTGTGGTTTATTGAGAGTTTTCGGGCCTTGTTAAGTGAAAATTTTAAATTGTCATAGCCAAACATCCCACATAAGGAAGTCTACTTGACACCCAGAGAATTGAATCCCTATTGAACGGGCAGATCGAGGTCCCGACACAACAAGCCGAAAGGCTCCGACTTGAACTTTGTGTCTGTCTGCATGCTGTCACCTCTTCATATGTACAATGTTCCCAACAATGGTGACAGTAAATGGGGGACAATGGCCGTGAACTAGTTTGTGGGAACATGATTGATAAGTAGGTCATGTCTTGTTGTCACCATGTGAGGCATGAACTCAACCCTGCCCAAGTGTTCAAGCTTTAGCAGGGCTTCTCCATGTATTCAACTATTCTTCAGCTAATTCTTTACGTCCATCCCGACTTCACTTTTTCCCCTCCTAGATGGTTCAGAATTTAATTGCAAATTTACATCTGTAATGTCACGGTTTTCCTTTGAATTTTTAAAAAAAAAAGTTTTTTGCAGAAACATTTTACATTAAAATTCACACGACTTGATTCTGCGGTTTTGTCTTCTTACGTCTAATTCGATAAAGCCACTTTTCCCACAGACTGTACCATATTACAAAATAAATAATTTTATTTATTTTTTTACGATCACAGAACTTGTCAAGCTTGTCAAGTTGAAACGGAAGCTGCTGCCTTAAGATGGCCCCTCGAGGGCACTGGCTGCAAGATTTTCAAAAGAACCAACGTTAAAGGCAGGGCACTAAATTCTGATTTATGAGATCTATGTGCTTGGAACAATAGAACAGACAGACATGAGCATCTCTCTTAACTTCCATAAAACAGTGTTTTTAAGTCCAATTCTTTAAAAAAAAATCTAATCTGGTGTTCACTGGGAATGAGATTGGGCGTGTAAGCCACGAGTAGACGCGAGCAGTTCTAGTGTTGCGGTGTCAATCCACAAAAGTCTACTACGTGGCTTGGTTAATGCTGACAGGATGACAAGTGCTGTCCCAAACACAGAGCAAGCAGTCATGAGATAAAACAGCATTGCCTCCCAAACTCTGCTGGCAGGCAGCTGATGAGGTCCCCTCGGGGCTCGAGGAGGCTGAAGAGCAGCGAGCACGAGGAGGCCAGTGGTCCTAATCTCTCTGAGAAATCCAGACAGCTAGGAGAATGGGCAAACTAAGGCAGGCTTTACATTACTGCGGTCCGTGACTGGTATTCGTCAGGAGATTTCAAGTGTGCTTGCCAATGTGGCAGAGCCCCAACACCCACACTCATCAATGCCCTGCTCCCAATAGGGTGCCAGCTTTGCCACTCTAGGAATTGTCAGCTTTCTGACATGTAGGAGGAGGAGGTGGTGGTGGTGTAAGCAGACATGGGTAACTGACGGTGTGGCACAATGCATCCATGGGTGAGACCATCCAAAAATAGAAAAGCAGGCTTGTGGGTTATGTGAAAAGCAAACTTGAACACAAGAAAGTGGCCAAAAACGCTTTGGTGGAGCTTCATGTTTAAATTTTAAACTCCAAGCCCAAGCATTGCCTTTGGGTGGGTGTTTGGGGACTGGGACAAATGTACTGTGCACCGCATGGAATTTCCAGCAGGAAACAGAAGGAGCCGTTATCTGAGACACGTTATGAACAATATTGTGAACATCGTGAGCGTGAGTGCAAGTGATTCAAACAGCTACGATATCGCAGGGTCATTTACAAGTCTTCTTAAATCTTCCCCAAATGTGAATAAAGCAACAGAAATGCCCGGAAACCCAGAGTGAAATAAAAACAGCTGTTTCTCTAAGAGGTGGGCACGCACGACCGTGGACTGGTTCCGTTGTCATGCTGCGGGACGCAGACTGTTCAAACTGTAGCAGCGCTCTCGCTAGCAAGCGGCGAGCCTCAGTCCGTTTTCGATGCGGGTCTTAAGCTATATCCTTCACGGGAAGGAAAAATGTACGGACCACACTCGTTTCTTTAACTTCCGAGTGGCTTTTGTTTTAACGTAAACACCCGCTTCATTTAGTCTCCACCAAAAGGGAAAACAACAACCAGGCGCTACACACTGGCAAAGCGGGCGATGCTAACCAAGCTAGCTCGCTAGCATGCCCCAGACAAAAGCCTGAATGAAGTTCCTATGGGTGCAAACACCATCCAGGTATCGCTGCTCCGCCAGAGGTGCAAACGCTGGGATTCGAGCACACGCATCGTTCCTAAACCCCCTGACAACGTTTCCCTCGTAAGAAAACTGGAGATTTGTGCTTACCCCTCCTGGTCCAGGTTTACTTTCTTCTGTGCTCTGTTTGAATGGTGTGTTGTTGTAGGAGGGCGTCCTGTTCCGGGGTCACATCCCTCCAGTCGGCAGAGCTACGGCGAACTGACTCAACGCAGCGACTCTCCTGCTGGCTCCCCGGTACCCCTGCCGGCCACCAGGGGCGCCACCGGCTCAGCCATCGTTGCACACTCATCAGTGGAGTCTGAGCCGTGAAACGTGGTCTGGGTCCGACAGCCGGGTCACCAAAGGGTAAATTCGGATCTCTGTATGGCTGGTCTTTTTAAAGAAATAAATAAGGTGATGCCGGAATTAATACAAAGTAGTGAGAATGTACAGAAGGTATTTCTAGCTCTTCATAAGTTAAAGGAATCATAAATAGTAAAATAATATATTCGTTTAGGTCTATAAACTCAAGTTAAATTACATTCATGTGAGTTTGTGAGCATAAAATTATTTATTTATTGATTATTTCTTTTTAAAATTAGTTTGTTTAATTTTATTTATTTATTTATTTTTATTTTGGAGGTTAACTGTGGTGTAGACTCTTTATGCCTTTTTTTTTCAATACTACACTAACAAAACAACAGGACAAATTAGGACAAGACAGACAAACTGTGCATTTAAATACAATAACATACATTCAAATAAAAAAAACAACAACACAGGTTAATGTTGAAGGTGTATTTGATGTGCAGTGCGTAAAAGCTGAACACAGGCATTACTTTTGTTAGTTTTTGGCTCAAGAGAGAGAAGAAAAAATAAATTAAACGTAGTTAATAACAATAATTATAACCATTATAAAATAAAATAATAATACTAATAGCCATCATTATCATCATCATCCTATTTCCTATTTCCATTGTCATCGTCATCTTCTTTTTTGTTAGTATTATCATTCAACATATTATCATCATACATATGGCTATTAAAGTATAAATGAGTCTCTAACTACAAGTTAGAACCCTATAGCTTCATATAGCTATACTTATATTTACACAAGTATAGCTTTTATAGATTGTGATTATAATTAGTTAAAAAGTTAAAAAGAAAAATAATACTAATAAAAATAAAAGTAAAAAAAGGAGTCACTTGGGTCAAACAGGTAGGGATTATGTTGTAATATGTTTTTAAATGAGCCTCACCATCGCACATCTCTGAGCCACTTCCGTGTGTAATAGTTTTTCAATAAGATACCTCAGGCTGTTCATCACCTGTTTTGTGTCTGGATTGTTCATTACATGCAAAGGTTTTCGGCCATATATGCCCTATAAGCAAAACTGAATGTGACACTCCTGATTTAAGAGAAAGCTCACAAAATTCTTTTGCAAAGAACCACTCAGTTAGTTTTGCAGCACTTTTAATTAATGTCCAATGAAAAATATAATTTTCAAATTTTTTTGTTGAAAAAACACAACATAAACACAACCAACAATTCAGATTCTTACTTTTCAAAAAGACATTCCTGCAAGAAACTTATTAGCCAATTGAATAGAAAAGTTGATACTGCTTTACCACTCTCAAATATTTCGATGAAATATGATCAAGTAAGAGAGAAAAACACAAAAAAGCAGTCATGGTTTTACATAGCTTCCACAACATACTCATACTTAATACAGATAATCAGGCCAGACTGCAATATCTGTGACCAACATCTATACCAAAACAATAAACAGATGCGGACACATTTGTTGGACTTTATCACATCTGCAAAAACCACTGTACATTATCACAAATCACTTTATTGCCACTTCCTCAAATATGGAAGCTAAACTGCGAATGTTTCTAATAAACAAGGGGGCTACTGTGTATAAGGAGGTACTGAAACTAGTAATTTATTTTTGTAGTGGTGTTGCACACCAGACTGATATGACCTAAAGAATAGTTGGAGATAAGCAAGTCCCTCAGACTTGAAATGCTGATGAATATTTAGGGAGAAATGGAACATGGGGGTGACTTTGGTTGATTTGGCCTTTTTCCAATCAATCTGCCTATTTGAAGTTGCAAAAACGAGCGTAACAAACATTCAGTTAACAAATGGCTTGGATTCTAGAAAGTTCTCCCTTTACACTCTGTTTACTGACATCATGTTTACCTCCTCATAACATCTGAAGCACAAGTAAAAACAGGATGCAGAGAAAAGTCTATACTGCATCTCATAATTTTTAGCTGCACGCATGTTAATCAGGGCAGAGCCCGAAACTGATTCAGCAATATACTTTACAATTTGCAAAATAAAAAAAACACACACAACAAAGAGTAGCCCATTAATTTGTTTTTCCTGACTTAAACATGCAGTGGAGCCCACATTGAAGGACACTGGCGAGCTGTATTTTAGGTCTGTTCCACAGTGAATCGCTCAGTAGTTTAAGGTACCTTAAATCCTCATGCTGTGTAATCTACACCTACACTTGCTCTAACTGTACAGAGACTTGTACAAAAAGTAGAGACCTTTTAAACCGTTTTGCAAAAATAAAAGAGGCTATAAATAGCACATTATTTTCTTTCATTCAAGTGGACCCTGCACGACTTACGGAATGACATACAGCATGTAAAGTAATGCGAATGCACCACAAAATGAAATGACACAGCATACGAGCTCACTTTAAATAAACGCCATATTTTACAGCATCAGATATGTCAAAGTGTGGTTGTGCTTGACACTGCAAGCATGAAATCGCCCTCATGGCACCTTGTACACCCATTAAAAAAATGCAATGGAGATCACAGTTTAAGTGCATATTTAAATATTAGAGAACACACACACACACACACACACACAGACACTCACACACACACACACTCACAGATGCGTACTGCTCTTTCTAAGATCATAGACCTAGTCCAGGTTTACACTTTCAAAGAAGGCATGACATCAATACTGCATTTTGAGAAAAACATCCACAAGTCTATGGCTTACATGAGTCTACGGATTGTCTTATTCTGGGACCTGCTGAAGCTTTTTTTTTCTGTTCTTTTCACCAAACATATATGAGATCTTTGCCTTGCGCATAAAAAAAAAATCGTATATTTCTCCAGAAAAAGGGAATAGAAAAATAAAATAGAATTGTAACTTCAAAATCTAAAATAAAACTGATTACACTTTCATGGTGTCTTTTAAATATGACGCTGGAGTCAGCAGACAGTCTGCTTAGCTTAGCATAGTTAAAGCAAAACAGCTAGTCTTTCTAAAGGAAACAGTCACTTTTAAAGATCACCAATTAACATGGACTGTGCGCAGTGCTGCAGTGGTGAGCACTGTCACCTCAAAGAAATAAGGCTGGTCTGCAGTGGGGGCTGTGGTGGAGTTGGCATGGTCTCCTGTGCGTATCCCTGTGAGGTTTTTCCTCCCGCGGTCCAAAGATATGCTTGTTTGATTAACCAATCATCCAAAATGGTCCATAGATGTCCATGGATGCGAGGAGGGACATTACCCCGCCCCTTTCTCAATACCACATAATATAAGCTCCACCTTCCCTAGTACCCTAAAATGGATAGGATAAACCTAGTATACTTAAATCTCACTTAAGCTAAAAGGCAAGTAAGTGTATTTCTTAAAATAAGAGTAGTATCAGGGTACCTTTAGCTATAGGTACACACAGCCTGGTACACAGGCATGTTTTCAAAATAAAAGTCCTACATTTTCTTAGACTATACTATAAAATGCTTCATGTGTATTGGCACATATTCTTCTTCAAGGCAACATTAGACAACAATGTTAGAACGACAAAAAGCATCACCTCTTTTTGAAATATTCTTTGCGACCTAACAAGTACATCAGCACTCATTAAGTAGTTACCACAGTTAAATAAAAATACAATAATGATAATATATATATTTTTTAAAAAGACACGTTTTGCAAAGATACAGTTGAAATGAGAGGAAATAACCTCATAACAGCTATCGTGGGTTGTAAACCGTACGAAAGTCTTGAGGTGAAACTGCTGTTCCCTGCCGAACAGAGCCTCAAGTCATCATAAAGTTAGTTTGCAGCTTGCTCCCTGTTGAGTAATGCCGTCGATGAGATGAACTTTCTGTTTCGGTGATTCATGACACTTTGCATGAGCAGGTGGTTTTCAAGTAGCAATTTCAGCAAATCAAAAACAGGTTTATTCTCTGGGTTGAAATGCTCCTCGTGGCAAAGACATTCCACTGATATATGGGAGGAGGATGAGTGCGATGGATTTTCTTCACTGTGAAAATACTTGTGTGTGTGGAAGTGATGCTCCAGGATTATCTCATTATCTTTGGATGCCTCTGCTTAGTTGTTATTTACCACATACAGGCCACTGAGATGTAAACGTTTGCTAAAGAGCTTTTCAGAGTCTTTGAATTCCTTCTGTCAAGTAAAATATTAGACTGTGTTTATGTGTATAAGTTAAAAATCCATGTATTTGGCTGGGCCTCATGTTTCATTGGTTCAGTGTTCTTCATGGTCTATTATCTTTGGCCAGTGAGTGCATCATCCAGTTGACCTTGGTCTTCCAGCTTTCCCGCAAGGCTTCGTTGAACTTTACTTTGAAGTTCTTCAGCGCCTCGTCCTCTGTTTTGCCCAGCGCTAAAGAGTCCTTTTAAAAACAAGAAACCACTAATTATTAACATTGTTGTCATTCTCCTCATAATCATTAACTGCTACATCATAACTGTGGCATACCTTTAGATACTGTATGTCTTTGAAGGACGTGAGTTCAGGTAGCCCCGCTGCCTTCATCATGGCGAAGAGGTTGACAAACAGCGTCCCGTTCCGACACAGGATCTTATAGGCCCGCTCACAGTACTCCCTGAACCTGATGCAAAAGATGCAAAAACAAACACGTTTCATAAGTTAGCAGAACCCCAGAACAATCCATCCATCCTTTACTGCTTATTCAATTCAGGGTCACAAGGTGCCTGGTTCCTATGCCAGGGTACACGGTCTATTACAGGGCCAAGACAGACAACACAGACTCCACACAGAAAGGCTCCAACTGACAGGTGGATTTAAACCCAACTCCTTCTTGCTGTAAGAGGACAGCGCTTGCCACTGCACCACTGTGCCAAAGTCTATAACTATAACTACGTACGTGTGTTAGAGTTACATGTTTTTATTGTACCTCTCAAATTTCTCACTG